CAGCACCAGCAGGTGGCGCCACGTCTCTGTTTTCTCTCCGCTCAGATCAACGCTATCGCAGATCTTCAGGTCAAACTGTGACTGTTCGCTTCATAATCCTCATCCGCAGCTTTTCACATCCACACAGTAAACATACAGATTAGTTTTATTCCTCCTCTGACTCTCTTCTCTTTAGACTCTCTGGTATTTTCCAACACTTTGGTTACTCGGAAGTAAAACGTGTATTTCTTCCGCTGTGAGCAGCGGCAGGGCGGAGCATGTTCCGAGTCACCCTTCAGTCCTCCGGCTGTCTGTCCTCTCAGGCTTCCAGGTGTAGTCGGTACGTACAGCTTTCATTCTCAGGTCGACACAGAATATTCAGGAGGAGCTGCTCTGTGTTCACCAACACGACCTCCAGACGTGTGACAGCTTTAGCATGTGATGATCAGCTGGACTCCTAAACACTGACATTACACCCTGAAGCAGCAGCCTGACTGTGTGTTCTGATCCACAGCTGCAGAACCAACCATGGGCTTCCTGCTGTCCAAATCCATGGATGCAAACCTGAAGAAGCAGCAGGAGTTCATGCTCCACAACTCACGGCTGCAGGTGAGTGAAGGTTCCCCCAGAATCCTATGAAAAAACTTCACTGAATGTGTTTAATAAATCACCATGAAGCTGCCCACGTTGGTCACTGACAGTAAAACGTGCACATCAGGTGTTATAAATCTAGAAATGTCTTGAACTGTGGTCAAATCAAGAGCATGTGTGTCAAAGTTGAAGGAGGCCAGCTTCAGAGTTGTTGGGACAAAGGTGTTTTTATAGCTCAATAAACCAGTTAACATCTGCACACAACCACAAAAACTACATATTTTGGGTCTTTTTTAAGGAATAAAATGTTCTAAAAAATCATGCTACGTGTGATAAATGCACAAACCCTTCTTTAAATACCTTTAGGATAGAAATACTGGAAGGTTTGGTTGATCAAACTTCTGCAGATCATTCAGTCCCTTTCTGGTTGTTCAGTAGACGCAGCGCTTTGACATCAACACACTGTGATGACGTTTTAGAGATTTGTACATCCAAGCATGGCAAAATAAAAACAACAGTTTCCATCAGATGTACTCAGTTTTTCACCTTATCCTCACATGTGTCTGTGGAGAATCTTTAAAATTTTCTGTTTTGAAAAACCCACTGCGAGGGATTAGCATGCTGAGCTGAATCAGCCCATTGATTAACTGACCCAAAGGTTCCGTTTACGACTTGTGTTCTAAAGATCAGGCTGTTAGTGTTAAATGTGCAAATCCTGAGAGACAGACATACAGCTGGGAGGTTTGGTGTATATAGATGCTAATGAAGTGGAGAGTTCTGGCTCAGAGTGTGACAGAAAAAACTCAGAATCAGCTTTAATGGCCACACAACGTGCATGGAGTTTGGTTCCGGCTGTTTGTGTCGCCCGAGGAATGAGCAAGGAAAAGAAAAACAACAAAGTAGAATAACTATAGAAAGAAAAGAAAAAAACAAATAAAATAAACAATAATAATACAAAATAAAATATGATAAATATATACAGGAATACACACAGCAGAAAAAATAAATATATGTGCCATGATGCAAATAACAACGTCAGTGGTCCGCAGTGTTATGGCTGAGAGCGGCTCAGCTGTTCAGTACAGCCATGGCAGTGGGATTAAAGCTGTTCTTATGTTTGGTAGTTTTAGTCTGCAGGACTCTGTGTCGCCTGCTGGAGGGGAGGAGGGAGAACAGTTTATGACCAGGATGAGTGGGTTCTGTGATGATGTTCCTCGCCCTCTTCCTGGTTCTACTGGAGTACAGGTCCTGGATGGAGGGCAGGGCGGCTCCGATGATCTTCTTGTGCACTGCACAGATAGACAAAGTGTTCTTAAGTCACATAGACGAGGCATTATACACGTACAAAAAGCCCAACTTTGTGTTAATTTTTAAAATCAGGAATCTGAAGCCGGATTCTAAGTTGTTGTTTTATGTTGTTGACAGATTTGACTCAAAGGTTTTGTTCACGCCGTGTATTTAGGAATAAGATGTTCCAGAAGTCAGCCTATGATCAGGTTATATGTGAAAACAATTCTGCAAAAAAAGAACCCTTCAGACGATAGAAAGAAGTGAATTCTGACAAAAAAAACCCTAATTTTCAGAAAACAGTCTTTAAAGATGCGCACCATAACGGAAATCTGCAAACTCAAGGAGACAAATTGTGGCAAACAAACACCTAAATACATATTTTGGATGTTTTTTTTTCTCCACTTGTCTGAAAGAACATGTTATGAAACCAAAATATACCAAAATCTGCATTTAAAAAAAAACGTTTTTGCTTTTAGTGTCACACCTCAAAAATATAGTCAAGCTACATGAATAGATTTACTTTATTATCATTCAATTAGTACATTAAAATAAACTAAAATGTGCATGAAATCACCAGCACAGGACACAATAAAAACAAAGAGAAAAACCTACAAATAGTAAAAAGCAAAGATTAGAAACCGTTTCAGATTGCACTAAAAAAAAAATAAAAAAAATAATCAATACTAAAAACAGCATTGCACTACTTTACAATGTAAAGTAAAAGTTCTCATTATGCAGCACAATGTGTTGATGATGCATTTGCAATTAACAGCATTTTATTCTGGAGTCCACTGCAGTGAGGTCGATGTATTTATGAGGCATCACAGCATCATGTGAGCCGTTAGAAATGCTCAAGTGTTTTAAATCTTAATCTGCAAACAGGCAGCTCTGCCTGTTCGATAAATGCACCAGCTGCAGACGAGAATATGTCTTCGGGAACGCATCCATAATTTGTTTTAAAGAAAAGCATTTTCAGCAAATGACCTTTATTGTCATTATACAGCGTACAGTGAGGTTGGAGAGCTTCTCTGCAAAACAGATCAAAAGATTAGTAAAAAATAAAACGCAAAATTGCTCAGTAGAAATATAAAAGATTGAAAAATGGATAAATATATAAAAAATAAGAAATAAAAGATTTTAAAAGTATTGCACAAGATCTTGGATATTTACATCCACTCACAGAATGATTGTGTTGCACCTAATGGAGGAATCTGGAGTCGATCAGAACATCAGCGGTACAGATATCACTCATTGCATCGTGTGTTGTGTTGGCCGGAGTGTTTCTATGTGAGAGTTCACGGTGGTGACTCTCCTCTCAGTAAACAGAGTTTTTATCTCCACCGGGTAATAAAACGACGTTCAGAGGAACCGCTGGGTTGTAAAATATGTTAAAGCTAGATGAACAGCTGACCCCATGTGACCCCGAAGTCCCAGTCTGACTCTGTGACGGCTGTGCATCAGTTTGCACGGTGCTCATAAAGCAGTATACATCACTACCATATCAGTTTGATCAAACGGCAACACCGGCATTAGCCTTTGATCCAGAATCAGACCTCCTGATGTTTCTCCTTTTCCTGAGTCAGAGACACCAGCTTCAGCATTTCCATTTAGAGACCACCTGCTTTTATTGCACTCATTATTTCTTTCTTTTTTTTTTTATTCAAACAAAGGATTGCTTTGCTTCTGCTCCTTTTTCGGAGCCAATTTCTTGTGATTTATTCGTGCCTGCGAGCCGCCGAGCAGCAGGTGGGGCGTGTGACCCTCATAACTCCAGCGACTTTATCTGATTTACACCCAAAACCTTTGTTGTTTCATTTAAGCTGCTGCTCTCCCACCTGTAAGCTGATATTATTCAGCTTTAATCGGGTTTCAGACGCCCTCGTTGAGGTCATGACGATGACTCACAGGTGAGCATCACAGGTTGCTGGAGTCGATGGTTTTATTGGCTTCACTCGCTGCAGATCGGTTCCCAAGAAATGGGTTTTAATTAATAACACATCATTTGTGTGCTTAGATTAAAGCTCATATTTCTAGTTAACGCAGTTCTATGTGTTGGCCGAAGCAAACAAACGGAGATGTTAAACATTCAAATGAGAGTTTTCAGGTCCGTAACAGGAAATCATTTATTTTTGTTCGAGTCGCATTTGAACGTCACATAATTTAATCAGACTGACCACAGCAATTTTACAATATCTATGCAAAGCTTCTCCGTTCCCTCCTCCTGCATTAAGTTGTCAGAAGTGACCGTCCGTCGCAGCTAATTGATCCCTGCCACCCTCCGGACTCCCAAGTCAAAGTCAGACGTCTTTGTGTTTGAGTCAAAGCCTCCATCTCGTTAAAGCGTCGCTTCAGAACTCAGCGGACGATCGTGTGACGCACGTCTGGAGAAATGGCACCTCTGAAGTGTCATTTCTGATGACAGGGTTGTGCTTTTCATTCAGTCGTTGGACTCGAGTGTGAAGCAGGCGAGCAAAGACCTCCTGCTCACGTGTTTCTGTCTCTTTTGTTGAAGCGTTTTTGACGACTGCAGTGGCTTTCTGCTGACAGCGTCGATACGTGGTCTGTTCAGAAACATGGACTTTGAAATACTGCAGAGAAACGTAACACAATAGTGTAAAACAGTAAAATATAAATGACTGAGAAAAGGTAGAAGCAGAGCAGGTACATGAGGGGAGCCGTGGTTTTGTCTCGTTAACATTTTTAACTGTAATTTTTAAAAAACAGTTCATATTTATTTTTCATGTATTGTTAAATTACACATAATAACTGATAAATTCACATTAAAAAAATAATAATTTGCATGTTAACTGTAGTAATATAAATAATTAAAAAGGGCTAAATAATAAATAAAACTGTAAATAACATACATTAAAAAAAATCAGTATTTTTTTTTAAGTAGTGCTTTGGGGTTCTTAAAAAAATATATTTTACCAAACAATTCCACATTTTTTACTCCTAAAATAAAACAAAATAAAAAAAAAAAAAAACTGCAAATAATGTCCACACTAAAAATCAGTGTTTTTACAAAAAGGGTTTCATTCATGTGGGACTGTATAATTACAGTTTTAGTTGAATTAAAGTATTTTCTTCACATTTTCTCTGTTGAACTACAGATAATATTAAATCACTGACAACAGCATTACTTTAGATGTTAACTAAAAAACAGCAGCTGCAGTTATTTTAAAAATTTTGGAACGTTACAAAACGCCACCTTTT